AGAAGGCTGGTGGTTCAAACCCACCAGCCACTCCTTGGAAGGAAGATAGGGCAATCTACTTCCATAGTAATACCACCTCGGAAACCCAAGGAGGGGTCGCTATGAGTCAGGTCTGACTTGACAGCACATAACAACAACAGCAACATGTGTTGTAAGAGTAGAACTGCCTTGTAGGATTTTCTCAGCTGGAATCTTTACAGGAACAGATTGCTAGGCCTGTTTTTCCCACAGTGCCACCGGGTGGATTTAAACTGCCAAACTTTTCAGCTACCCAGCCCAGCATAAATCATTTGTCCCACCCAATATGCATTTAATTAAAGTGTTAAAACTATTTACATTTCATGTAATTATCAATATTGTAATCTACCATCTCACTGTTTATTTTCTACTTTTTTCTTTGTTTTTCCCCAACCCAGTCCATGTTTTTCCTGCTTGTTTTGGATTATTTTTTCAGGATTTCATTTCATCTCCACTAGTTTGTTATTAGTTATATAGCACTCTTATTTTTTGAGGGCCTTATCTAGGGTTTACAATTTGTATCTTTAATTTTTTACAGTTTATTGTCAAATGATATTGTACCACTTCATGTATAATTAAGAAATTTATAAGCATGTATTTTCATTTCTTCTCTCTCATTCTTCATTCTGTTGTTGACATAGTTTTTGCTTCTACATATGTTATAATCCCTATAATACCTTGTTATTATTTTTGCTTTTAATAGTAAACTACTTTTTTCTTTTTCAATCAACTACCTTTTAAAGAAATTTTTTTTTAAGTAGTTTCTTTTGATTTATGTGCAGTTTCTGGTGCTCTTTGTTCTTTGTGTGGATCCAAGTTTCCATCGATACCATTCTCCTTCCGCTTAAGGAACTTCCCTTAACATTTTGTGTATTCAGGTACGCTAACAACAAATGCTCTCAGCTCTTGGTTGTCCAAAAAGCCTTAGTTTGCTTCATGTTTGAAAAATATGTTTGCTGGTTAAGAAATTCTAGGTTGACAGCTTCTTTCAATACTTTAATGACATCATTCTGTTTTCTTCTGGCTGGGTTTTTGACAAGAAACTTGAAGTCGTTCATCTTCATTCCTCTGTATGAAATGTCTTTTTCCTCTGGCTGCTTTTAAGATTTTCTCTTTATCACTTATTTGCAGCAGTTTGATTCTGATGTATCTTGGTGTGGTTGTTTTTATTTTTCCTGCTTGGGTCTTTTTGAGCTTTTAAGATCTATAAATTTGTTACAGTTGTTAGCAAATTGGGAAGCTTTTCAAACATTATTTCTAATGTCCTCTCTCCTCTTCTGAGACATCAGTTACACTTACTAGATAACTTGATAATTTTGTCCCATGGACCATTGAGACTTTGTTCATTTACGTGTGTGTGTATGCACACATATACACATACACACAGCCTTTTTTCTTTCTGTACCTCCTTTCAGATCATTTCTATTGCTATGTCTTTATGTTTAATATTCTTTTTTTCCCTACAGTAATTCCCTCTAGTGAATTATTCATTTCAGATACTGTATTTTTTATCTCTAGAAGTTCCATTTGGTTCTTTTTTGTCTTAAACTCTCTCTTCACTGTGTTCAGGTTTTCCTTTAAATGTGTAAACATACATATTATGTTATTATGTTTTTTATCTTCTAACCCCATCATCTCTGTCATTTCTGGGTCTGTTTCTGTTGTCTGATTTTTCTCCTTATTAAAGGCCACTGGTGCTGGATGTTGTGAATGTTAACATTATTGAGTGTTTGGATCTAGATTTTGTTGTTGTTGTTGTTGTTGTTATTTGCCATAGAGTTGGACCCAACTCTAGCGACCCCTCCTTGGGTTTCCAAGGCGGTATCACTACAGAAGTAGATTGCCCAGCCTTCCTTCCGAGGAGTGACTGGTGGGTTTGAACTGCCAGCCTTCTGGTTAGCAGTCAAGTGCCTCACGCACTATGCTACCAGATTTTGTAGACTTTCTTTTAAAGACTGGGTTTTGGTTTGTGTGGCAGTTACTTTCAGTTCAGGTTGATATACTCAAGGCTTGATTTATATACTTTATCGGGGCTGACGAACAGTAGTCTCTAGGGATAGTTTGGCCCTGCTTCTAAGTCATGGCCCTCCTGGGGTCCCTACTGAAGTGCGTGAGTGATCAACAAGAACTTTCTGTCTTGACTGATGAGAACACAGTGATTCTCATACCTGTGTGAGTTCTAAATACAAGTTTGCAGCTCCCTGCTTGTTTTTTGCCTGACCTCATGGAGTTTCATTCTGTATGTGCACATCTTAATATTTAGCAAAGATTCAAGGGGACTCCTATACAGATTTCTGGAGCTCTTTTTCTTCAGAGCTCCCTCTTTTTCATAACACAACCTCACATCTTTCAGCCACCTCAGTCTCTCTAAACTCCAATCTTTATCTCTTCAACTGAGCCAGACTACCATGCTTAAGTCCTGATGTGTTTTTAGGCAGACAGCTGAGGAGATAATAGAGCTCACCCCATTTGTTTCCCTTCCTTCAAGGATTATAATCCTATACTGTTTTTTGTCTCATGATTAAAAACAGTCACTTCATATATTTTGTCCAATTTGCTAGTTATTTAAGGTAGGATGGTAAATATTGTCTTTGTTACTCCATCACGGCCCTCAGTAAAATCTTACTGAGTAGGAATTAAGTTCTTTGGTGGACAATGTGCCCCCATTGGCATTAACAAGAAAGCTTCTGATACCATTTCATAAAATATATTTGGGATGAGGACAAGCTTCCACAGAAAATTAAATGGGCCAGATGCCAGTATATTAGGACAGGGTGGCTTCAGTTGATATTTATAGGGCATAAAAGTACAGAGTATATACAGCGTCCTGAGCGAGGTGAGGGGAAATAGTTACATTTTTCTGTAGCTCAACAGGTTAGTGGATCAATGCAGAAGGATTAAAAGAAAAAGAAAAAAAAGATAGCCAAATAGAGTCCCAAGAGCATTCACCTGGAGGTGCTAAGTCTGCCACCTCATCAAAACCCAAGGGTTTCTTTTTCTTAGCTAGAGTTTTGTTCATGAAATTTATTGTCTCATCAGAGTTTTAATATACAGTAGCTGTCGTTGGAATTCAGCTTGACTATACAAAACATCATGATTAATGTTTCCTAGAGTATTAATTTGTAAGATAGAAGCCAAAACAAGTAAGGCATATGTAAGAACAAAATTTTAAATACCTTTCTGATGTTTTCTGTCCTTCTTGACTTCAGTTTCAGATCTGTTACGTGATAATGGTTTAAGTAACATACTAAGTTGAAGTAGACTAGAGAGACATGGCAACTAATTGTAACATGTGATCCTGAATTGTGTTGTGAAGAAAACGAAGGGGAAATATTTGTTTGTTTATTTGTGCTATAAAAAACATTTACTACTGAGGCTTCTGACTGCATTTGAATGGGCTCTATGGGTTATGTGGTCTTGTTAATATTAATGTTAATTTCCTGTCTTTGATAGTGGTACTGTGGCTACAAAGGCATCTCCTTGTCTTTTAGGATATACACACTGAAGCATTTAAAAGTAATGGGCAGCCTTGTCTGAAACTTACTCTCAGTTTGGAGGGGTAGGGAGGACAAAGTATGTATGTGTGTAGAAAAAGAGAGACTGAGAATGATGGAGTGAATGTGCTGAAATGTTAACAGTTGGGGAATCTAGATAAAGAGTTCCTTATGCTCTTCTTGCAGCTTTTCTGTAGGCTTGAAATAGTACACAGTTAGTATGTCAGGTGGGTAGTAAGTTTTAAGAAGAAGTACCAGGGTAAGGGAGTAGAGAGTGATGAGGATGCTCTGTTTACATAATGGACTCAGGAAAGGTCTCTCTAATTGGGTGGTATTTGATCATGTGATAACAAGCTATTCAGTCAGCTGGGGAAAGAGTGATCCAGCCAGCGGGAACAGCAAGTGCAAAGGCCCTGAGGTGCTGAGGTATACTTCTGAAGTACAACAAGAAGCCACTATAATTGACATAGTGACCAAGAGGAAAGTGTTATGGCTGATGTCAGAGCAATAATGGAGGAACAGGGCAGATCATGGTAGGATCTTGAACACTATGTTAACAGCTATGTGTTTTACCCAAAGTAAGGTGGAGGAACATTGGAAGGTTTTAGAGCAAGAGTCACATGATCTGGTTTACATTTGGAAAAGATTATAATGGCGATGAAGCTGGGGGGCAGGGAGTAAAAGTTAAATTTACAGACAAATAAAAATAAGCACAATAAAAATACAAGCAAAAGATATGAGCAAAAAGATGTAGAGAGCAAATAACCCTGTGAAAAGATGTGCAACATTATTCGTCATTAAGGAAATGCAAATCAAAGCTATAATGACACCACTACACGTCTCTTAGAATGACTGTAATTTAAAAAACTGATAATAACCCAGCACTGGCAAGGATCAGAGCAGCTGGCACCTTCACATTGCTGGTGAGAAGGCAGAAGTGGTCGCACCACTTCAGAACACAGTTTGGTGGTTTCTTATCAGGTTAAGCATACGTTTACCATAGGACTCAGCCGTCCACTGCTAGGTCTGTATGCCAGAGAAATGAAAACCTGTGACCACACAGAGATCTAATATAACTGTTTATAGTAGCTTTATTCATAATTGGGAACAATTCAAATGTCCATTAACTAGTGAATGAATAAAGAACAGTGGTAAATCTGTACAGTTGAATATTACTCAGCTATAAAAAGGAATGAGTCAGTGATCCACACAGCAGCATGGATGAACCTCAGGTATACTGAGTGAAAAGCACCAGACTCGACACCCAACACACATGGACTCCTTTTGACATAATGCTGGATTTGTGACCTTTTGCTTTTGAGCAGTTCAAATTCTTATCTTTTGTCATTCTGCCTGTTGCTACCAATATGAGAAGGATCAAGTAAGTAGTATCTTCCTAAAAAGTATGAGCCATATTTTCTGGAAATACAAAGTAAAAAAAAAAAAAAAAATCTGTAGGTCCCTGAGGAAAGGTCCTATAATCAGATGTAACATGAAAATTTTGTTTCTTCTTTTTCTTCAGGAGCATTCCGGAAGAGTTTTCCGACTCCAGTTTGATGAATTCCAGATTGTCAGTAGTTCACATGATGACACAATCCTCATCTGGGACTTCCTAAATGATCCAGCTGCCCAGGCTGAGCCCCCCCGTTCCCCGTCTCGAACATACACCTATATCTCCAGATAAATAATCATACACTGACCTCATACTTGCCCAGGTATGAAAAAGAATTGTGTCCATAGCACTAGGGGTGGGAGATGGAATATCGGCTGGGAGGTATTAGTAGGTCAGTGAGCCCTCCTGTGCACACTACCTCAGCAGAGCCTGAAAAACAGGCCAGACGCACGGCATGAAGACGACGCTGGGGCTGCCAGGTTAGGTGCTGCCTTTCGTCAAGGGAGCTAGCTAACCTCCGTTCTTGATGACTCTGGGGTCCTGTGTGTGTGCTGGAGCTCATCTAATAGAATTGTTATGAAAATAAAATGAGATTTCAATCACTTTGAAAACTAAGGGTAGTGACCCTAAAGCCTGTGATTTTGGTAGTTCCCAGATCAAACTAGTACTTACAATAGAGCCCTTTTGAACCAAGTAAGGAGCTCTGGTGGCGTAATGGATAAGGCATTTGGCTGCTGACCAGAAGGTCAGCAGTTCAAACCCACCAGCTGTTCTGTGAGAGGAAGATGAGGCAATCTACTTCCATAAAGATTTATGCCTTGGGCTCACTATGAGTCAGAATTGATTCAGTGATGGCAGTGGGCTTGGGTTTTGGTCTTTTGTTTGAGGCAAGTAGAATGTGCGAATGGAAAAATCCTTTGGTGAAATATCACACTGATATATCACAGTTCTGCCTTGTTAGTGTCATTTGATTATAAAAGCCAGCTTTTTTATCCTTATCCCTAAGCCCCACCACTCTTCCTATCTTTTGACCTTGGAAGCAGAAGCCTAGGAAGTTGGTGAGAGCTCTATGTATCCTCCTACTCAGGTCTCCAGACTCCCTGAAGCAGGAAAAGATCTCCAGTTCCTAGGTTGTCTGTCCTGTGGCATGTTCAGATCAGACCTGGTGTTCATTCCAAATCAGGTCAAATACATATTATCACCAGCTGGGGAAGACTGTGCCAGCTCCTGGGCAGCGCTGCCACTATCAGGATTTCTCCTTCCCTGCATGTCCCAGTCCACGTGGCAGAGGTACACAGTGGCTTCTAAGCAGCGTGGTTTGTGCCCTGCCGGTGCTCACCGTTCTCACAGACGGTGTGGAGGAACCTAGAGGACAAGCAAAAGGAGCAATCGAACTATTAACCCAGTCTTTCCCCGACAGCCTCCTTGACCAAGTCAGATGGTTGGGGGGAGGATAATAGCTCGGGCACTTCCTGCTGTGTGACCTTGGGCAGGTAACTTCCCAGAGCCTTGGTATTCTGAGCAGTAAAATAAGGATATCAGTACCAGTCTCATAGAGTGGCTGTGAGGACTTACTGAGATAATATACGTAAAATCCTTAGTCCTTAGCCCGGTTCCCAGCATGTAGCACGCCCTTGGGAAAAAGTGGTCATTGTTACTCATACTGTCATCGTGTACCTGTCCCTGCCTTTTGCCCATACTTTCTCTTCCTTAGACTTCTTGAATATTCTTCCCAGCTCTCTGATTGTTTATGTCTCCTTCCTGCTTTCACCCCTAAAACATAGACAGCCTCTAATGGTCTGGGTTGGGTTTTTCTCCCTTCTTTGGCAGCCTTATCTAATCCCAAGGTTTCAGCTCTCATCTCAGTATAGATGACTGTCCAGTGCAAGCCTGTGCCTCAGATTCTAGGCTTCATTGCCGGACACCATCCACACATCTGCCCTCGAAGGATCCAGAGCACCGGGGCAGCACGTCCCCAGGCAGACCGGCCCCTCATCCACACCACTGGTGCCCTCCAGCCAACAGCCAGGCCCACCTCACCCAGCTCCCTGCTTCTGTTGTGGGGAGCAGTGCAGGCAGGCTTGATGCTGAGCTGACCGTGGTCAGTCATGGTCTCATGACAGCAGAGCCACTGCTTGAGTGTCAGAGTCCTGTGCTTATTAGTGAGCCCAGCCTTTTGTATAAGTCCCCAGACAGGCCGTGTAGCCTTTGACAGAAGCTCCTGTGTGGTGTGGGCAGAGAACAGGCATTAGGAAGTACCCCAAGTCTGCTTCACAACTGACAGCCAAGTTAATCCTCTTTTCCTCTTACAGCAAGTGAGAAATACAGGGAAAGGGGCTAATGACTGTTTGCTCTGTTTTCACATAGGACTCATTAAAGTTGCGGTATTTAATGTATCTGCCAATGCCAGGATGAGCAACAACAGTAACAGTCAAACTCCTACCCAGTTTCCCCGGACTAGCCGAGGAGCGGGGCTTTGAGACTCCTAGTGGGACACAGTTGGTCTGCGGTCGACCCCGACGGTCTGCTCAGCACAGCCGTGTGCATCAGTGCTGCTATCAGAAGATGTCTGTATCTTTCGTGAGTGATTGGAACTTTGAAACCTCACCTCCCCCTCCTCCTTTCCCCTCTGCACCTGTTTTTCCCCACTTGGTTCCAGACAAAGATGACCTATAAATATATTTAGTGTTTTGTCAGAATCTCTCTTGCTTTGCCATTAAGCAGAAGAACTAGTTTCCCCATATAGCCTACTGGGAGAGACTCACTTCTCCGGAAGGAGACAGAGAAGTGGGGAAGAAGAAACGGGTGCAGCTTCAAGCCCAACAGTAGCCAGTGTCTCCCCATGAACTGCAGGAGTATCCAGCACCTGGCAAGATCAGCCCCGCCCAGTCTCACCGTGTCAGGAGGGGACAGAGCTCTCTCTGGGCTCCGGGCAAGAGAGAGAGAGCAGACAGAATATACACTGGAGGAGCTGGGCCGCTTTCCTTCCTTGTCCTCCTCACTTTCTGCCCCGCCTCTCCCTCTTCTTTAGCCTGCTTCTCTGCTGCACTCAGACAGGAAGTATGTGAAAGAGTGTCCTCAGTTAGCAGGAGGCAGATCTGCTAGAACCTGCAACACTTGGGAGAGTTCAATGCTGTTCAGTCAAAATTTCAAATCCAGGCTTTTGCTGCAGGTGATCCGATGTGGCAGCGGTGGATCCTCGGACACAGTGTTCTCATCATATTTGTAACTCTCCTCTCTTCTGCACTCCCTGCACCCCCCACAAAAAAGGGCAGAAATTTACTGGGCTCCATCAGTGGCTGCATCTTTTCTGGACTCAGCAGTCTCCTCGATTCCATGTAGAGTGTGGAAAGGAGTTGCTGATTGCATTTCCTCTCATTAACAATTAGATGTGTAATAAAAAGCATGGTACTTCATCTTAAATCACGGATGAGGCTCAGCCCACAGAAAGGTTTGAAATGGCCAGGGCCGATCCCTCGGCGCATTTTGCATAATGGGTCACGTCTCTGATTTCCTCATCAGGGCTTGTGAGCATAGCAAGCGCCTGCATCTTTGCCAAGACCACGTTTAAGAGATGGTCATGAGTGCAAGCTGATCGTTTGCACTTAAATGAGTAAATAGCATCTCTCAAAGATCGGCCTAACCATCACAGCCTTGCTCTGCAGAACCTTCCTTCTGCTTTTCCCAGACCCAGTATTTACGAAAGGGCAAAGCTACCGGAGAGAAGATCAGGGTGAAGTTTGGCACACAGGGTTTATGAATGGCAGAAACTGCCTTCTCTCTTTCCTTTCTTCCTCCTCCTGGCCTTATCTTGCCCTCCATCCTCCCCAGCCAGTACAATTTCTCCACAGTTGATGGATGTCAACAAATGGACCTCAGCAGTGGCCAGGCTGATATGGCCACTTGGAAGGCAGCTGTATGGGCTTCCAAGGCAACTGGCTTCAGGTATGAGGCCACATTAGCCACCCTGACCTGGGAGCACAGGGTAATCTCCTGGCATGTGCCCGGCTTGCTCCCTGGGACAAGAGTGGGCCTACACGAGCCGTCTTACGTGGCGTGGGCACATCCATCAGGGTTCCCGGGGCCACGGTGCCGTCTCAAGTTCCCTTGGAAATAGCAGTCAGGCCCGTTGTTTCCATTCCTAATCAAAGCAGTTGAGTCAGAGGAAGCTTGTTTAACCAGCTGCTGTCAAAACAGCAGAATAGGAGCCGTTTGCAGGTACCACAAAGCTTTTAGTTCAGCGGAGGTAGAGGTGGGGAGAAAGGCGTCTTCACTCTTCCCTCAGAAGATATCTCACCTTTTCCAGCCTGAATGTTGTGATTCTGTATGGAGGGGCAGGTTATGCTTATGGATTTTTCCTTTCCTGCTTTATGAATACCTGTGAGCTTTCGTTTCCAGATCATATCCATCAAATACTTCCCAGTGTAATGACATACCTTTGCCTGAGAAATACTTTCTAAATATAATCACCTTCCCAATTACCCAAATGCTAAAGATAAATGTTTTCTAGTTAGCACTATCAGGGTTCCTTGTCTGTTGTGTTGACTATTAATGGCTTTTTGATTTATTACGGATTTCACTGCAGATGATGGCAGGGTGCTGTCGTCCCTGAGAAGCACACAGGTCAGACGTGCAAGAGGCGTGGATGTCTAGCTGTTTCAGATATTGTCCAATAGCCATAAGTGTACTAGCCCTTCTGTTATATGCTGCTGTTCAGAAGTGGAGCTGTTGAATTTCCACTGGTGCCCAGGGTATGGCTCTCCCATCGAGGTTCAGTTGAAGGTATATTACTTCTGAGGCTGTTTTGAAGCTTGTGCAGAATATCACAAATGCAGTCGGGGGTGGGGCCTGTAGACCCAGAGCCGCCAGCTCAGCCGAGGGCATTCTACAGTTGTCCTCTCTGCTGTTGATGGAAATGGGAATGAGGTGAAGTGGTCTGAAAAACTTGAATTGTTCGTGTGTCTCAGCTCTGGGGGTCATTTACCAGTTCATTGTAGAAGAAATAATCAGGTAAGTAGAAGTTCATTTCCAGAGAAAGTAAACCCCACTTACCATCTCTGCATGATTTCAGTGGGAATTGATTATCACTAATCCCCAACTGGGCTAGAATAAATGTAAAGTTTGACCTTTTTAAAAAGGAAAGAGAAACAAAGAAAGTCCCTGCACATTTAACGGAGTGCTAGGGAGGGGGCTGACGGTGTCCCTTGGCTCCTAAGTGAAGTCTCCTTTGTTGGTTAGTCTCTCTCATGAAAGTTTGCTTTCCAGTGTGGACCCTGACAAACCTTTCTTACAAATGGGATGAACCCCTTCAAAGACAGGGGAGGAGCACGTGCATGTACCTGTCCCTGCCTTGGGCCATGTGACCCCTCAGTGCACTCTAGAGCTTTTAGGACAAAAGCAGCATGCCTTGCTGCACGTCTGTATTTTTACTGCTCAGAAAATCCGTATATTTTCTTAGATGCGATTTGAGAGTGGCCATGAATTGTGAATGGGCACTTGTTCCTTGGCAAAATTCTTTTTGGTGACTCCTAACTTCAGAGGCAGGGACTCTCTTTGGAACCTTATTGACAAGTAATGAAGTCTGGCTGTCATAACTATAACTTGTTTCTGAACTGGAAAAGATCCCAAGACCCTGAAATCATTCTGTTTTCTGTTTGAGTAAGAAAAATCCTGTTTATTTTCCTTCCGTACAATCCAAGACTAAAGAGAAGGAAACATACTCTCTTCCCTTGCCATCTCCTGGTGCCCATTGGTCTGAACAGCTGTGGTTGGGCTGCTTCAGCTCTTGATTGTGTACAGAATCAAAGGGCTTGGGATGAAGGGGAGGTGGAGATACTGGAGATGATTAGGGTGATTTTTTCTTTCCTAGAATTGGATTAGGCACATTGATAGTGCTCACCTTCTTAGCATCTTCCATTTGCCTTAGGTGGTAATACCTTCCTGCTTAAAATGGGAGCAGTTCAAACCGGAGGCCCAAGGGGCTAGGCTGTGAGCTTGATTTTGGAGGAAATCCAAGGTACTTACAGGTGGAACAGTGGCTGCTTAGACATCCACCCCCTGTGGCAACCGTGATGATTCTTTGAGCATCAGGTTTACCATGTGACTTTGGTCCACATTTCTCATCTCCTTCCCCATTTGTTTGAGTTCAGCCGATTTTGTAGGAGCCGGAGAACATGAAAAGGTGCCTCACTCCTCCTTGCTTTCTCTCTTCCCACCTAGAGTTACTCTCATCCCTAACAAGTCCACCCGAAGGCCATGGGCTGGGTTAATCTCCCTGGGCTTCCCGCACACAGCTGACTGCTGACGCCAGCGCCTAACCACACTCAACATCATGAGTGCTGCAAAGACAGCCATCTGTAGGGGAGATCAGGCTGAGTGTTGCTTTTTGTTATCTTTACCTGTAGTTCATTTGTGACTTCAGAATCTTTCGAGCTGAGGAAAGAAACCAAACAAAGCATGATTACAGCTTCCTTATTTGAGTGGAACCTGATGTACTGACATCTAGAAACCCCTGAGAGAGAGAGAGAAGGCTAAGAGCAGTGAACAGCATTAGAAAGTGTTAACTCCCCTTCTACCCTTTTCCTTTTTGGGCCATGGTAGGAAGAGACTAGCTACAGGGGTTAGACCTTTGGGTACCAAGGAAACTAACACCTTCCCAAGTCAGTGAACACTTAAGCCCAACCCAGACAGGCCTGCAGGATGGTTGGTTGACTTCTGACTCCATCTCTGGGGCAGGCCCGGCAGCAAAGGTGAGCTTCTCAGAGAGCTTTTGGTTGGTTTGGCTCTTTGTTCTCTAGACTCTTACGTACTGACTGCTTTGACTTTTGTGACTCTGTGATGTGTAGTCAATGTACCAATATGTCCACAACCTAGGATCATGGTAATAGAGTGTGCTTTTAGTTTGTTTTTGTTTCTGGTTTTTTTTTTTTTTTTTATTGTTCAGAAAAAAAGTAACTTAAATTACAAATATAAGATTAAACTGGATTTCCTAAGTGTCTTGTCTCTTTGTCCCACCATCAAGAGGAGAATGAATGTTATAAATACAGATTGAAGGGTCCCACCCCAACCACTCCATGGCAGAACGACCTGGTGATAGGCCCCTGTAAAGACGGCTAGGAAACCCCTTAGGGCAGTTCTCCTGTATCCTTGTAGGGTTGCCAGGAGTCGGGATCGACTCGGGGTATACAGCAACAACAGTGGGTTTAACACTTTAAGATAAGTGGGCATGGAGAAAAGAACGTTGGGGAAGTCAGGGCAGAATGGTGTGATCCCTGGCATATGGTAGTGTTCAATGTGGAATTAAATTGAAGCCAAATGATGTCTGATTTGTAGACACCGTCACTGATTTGTCACCATCACCTCAGCTCGCAACCTAAGCCCAAAATTTAAATGTGTCTCTGTCTCCTCAGTGGCGGGGAAGACTCTGGATTTCCCCTGAATCCCACTGGACCAGTTTATAGACAAGTGAGTTCACATTTAGGAGCAATGTCCAGAGACTGCAGCAAGCTGGTCCATCGCGTCCGGGTCTGGGGGCTGACACTCCTGCTCCTGAGTGAGCCTTCCCCTTCCCCGCCTCTCCAGCCTACAGAAATAGTCAGCAGCTCTGGTGGCACAGTGCCTAAGGCGCTTGACTGCTAACCAGAAGGCTGGCGGTTCAAACCCACCAGCCACTCCTCGGAAGGAAGATGGGGCAATCTAC